TTTGTAGATAAAAAAATAAAAAATAAAAAATAAAAACTAGGTTTTGCTTGGATTGCATTTCAGAGAATAGTTCTCAAGAACAGTTCTCAGTTTTTTCAGATCTCAAACCTGCTTGGTTAAGAGAATTTACAAAACAGTATCCAGAAAACAAAAACTCATAAAACTACTTGGTTGTATAAGTTTTAAAAAATAGTTTTCTAAACTAAGAAAATAAATAAAAATATTATTAGACCTCACACTTTTACTTCTTTAATTTATGATATTAACTATTAATGTAAATAAGTACTAGGGGTAAATTCATTTTAGCTAGTATTCTTAACTTAATAAAAGTTGTACAAATACAATATATCAAGTTTAATTACAATCCTTTTTTTGCATAACTCCAAAATGGAGGTTCTGTTTGGTGCTTGGGAGTAAGCTGGCGTCCAAAGATCTCTATGAAGTCATTAAAGTGTCCTTTTGGAGTTATGCAGAAAGAGGACTTTGGAGTTTAGATTTTGAAGTTTTGGTTAGCGCTACTGTGCAAGCTGGTGTTGAAGACATTGTTGTGTCATTTTGAGTTATATTGTCCTTAAGATAAGGACTTTTGTTTATATGGATGTATTTTGTTTCCCTTTTACGGGGCTCCATGTACATTTTTCCTAATTTATACACAAGCTTACCTTTTAAACAAAAAAAAAAAGTTTAATTAAAATTTGACTAAACTTAAATACAATAAAAGAGTTACATTAAACATTGTAAATTAAACATAGTAAAGGTATAGCAAAACAAAGTTTTCATAACATCAAACAAAATAAATTGTCTCCCACGTAATATAACATAAAGTCACATGCATATAAAAAAATAAAAAATATTCATATTTTATGCACTTCATAGTACAAGTCAGAAATCGTGTATATATATCATATTTTATGGCACTTCATTCTACTAGTCTACTGTGCTATGAAAAAAATATATACGTGGTAATGGGATGACTGGGGTCAACTCAAGACTGCCCTATCGTAACTTTTGTCCTTAGCACACATTCATTTGGCCATAGTTTAAAGTCTAAAGCGAGTTTACTGAAAAATATGATTGGTATAACGTCTAAAGAGAGACGAGGAATCACGCGTTTGACATGGGCCCCAACATTAAAAAGAAAGAAAAAAAAGAAAAAGGAAAAGAAAAAAGAAAAATAATAAAGTTGTAGTTAGATACAAACTAGTGGGCATTCATATCAATCTTCTCAACTATTTTATATGTTGTTTTACCTTTTTAGTCACTCTCTATAATCATGTAATTAAAAATAAAAAAAAAATATGAAAGGCCTTAGAAAATAAACCAGGAGCATTTATTATTATTTTATTTTATTTTATTTTATTAATGTAGAAGCTATAAAAAAAAATAGGGCTAAGTATCTAAAACACCTCTAAAGTTTACGTTTTGAACAAATAACACCCTTATTTTATTTAGTTATTTAATTTTGTTAGATTCGTATTAAAATTACGAAAATATTTTACAAAACCGATTTTCGCCCCGCCCCTGCCCCGTTTAATAAACGATTTTGAGGTGAAGATGTGGGTGGCTATTCTAAATGGGGATGGGATCGAATGACATTTCCCGCCCCAAACCATCCGTTGTCATCCATACTCGCACCATTGATCTCGGCCAATTACTAATTGAAGTGTAAGTAAACAATTTAAATAAAATTGACATATTTATTTATATGTCAATTAGTGATTGACCGAGATCACTTAATTCCGGAACTATATTGTAATTCCTTTATTTATTTTCTTGATAGTCCATACTTACTTTTTGCTAGTGACTTATGGTATTTTTCAATTAAATTTCATCACTTATAAGCAGATTTTCTTACATTTTCTATCGAACCGTTTGTATCACGCATTCGAATTCAGTGTGTTGTTACTCATTTTGTCTTCAGATTGTACTATTCATTTGAACTTATAGTGTTTTGTTACCGATGTATTTTATATTAATGCACTTAAGTGATTATTTTTATAATTTATATGTCATATCCATTTATTTTCATTTTCAGAAAAAAAGAAAATATTTATTCAGTATGATATCATAAAAATTAAATAATGAAAAACACACTTCATTTTCATTTTCTCTTGATAAGCAGCATGATTAAATAATGAATTAAGTTACAAATACATTGTCTCAACATTTCACATGATTTTCAGATTTGATTTTCATAACAAACATGCTATGCACATGCATATTTTTATTTCATTTTTCGTTCTTAAAATCACCACAACAATCAAAACAGTAATTTTTTCATCCATTTCACTTGTTGCGCTTAGTACCTTTAAAATGTAATTACCACATTGACCATGACTTGGCAATTTAAGATTTTAATTCGAGCCTCACATCAATCTCATGGAAATAGTAAATAGAAACAAAATGACAGATATCACAACTAATTACAATAGACCTTTCTTTTTAGGCACTCAAAGATGGTTCATTGTCAATATATATGTCCTGAAAATTTGGTGGCAATGGCAACTTGTTAGTTACTAATCTATATATATTCCCATACACAATAAAAATTTGGCGCCGCGCTTGCAATGGGCACATTCAAACCCTCCTACTAGACACGTGTAGTAGCAAAGTGCAACGAAAGCAACCAATTTTTTCTCCACATACACCATCATGGTTTATAAAATCACCAAATATTTTGAAGTTAGTAAACTCACCGACAAACACATATCATTTAAATTTTATTAAATATTTTGAATTTACTTGTTAACCATGGAATCATGCGTGTAAAAAAACTTTTAACATTAACTTGACTTATTAAGTAAAACACAAAATAACAATATCTTACATTTACTTTAGCAAAATTACAAAACCTATCCTATGTATTAAAACTTAATGATTGGTAACACTTTTCCCATTCCCTTAACGGCGAAGTCAGGCCAATAATAAAGTTGGGTTTATGCCAATGAAACAAAAACTGAGAATACCATTTTTATCCTTCAAATGCATGAAATACAACAACTACTATTTTAAATGCGAGGAAAATTAGTAAAATTATAACTTGCTTTACCGTGGTAGTTGTACAATATAATTTCTAAATACATAAATAAAGTATATATAAATTTGCAAAAGTAGAAGGGAGGTCGATGAGATACAAGAATAATATATTATCTGTCAAGGGCAAAATATAAAATTACATTTATACTCGCCTCATATGCCTCATGTGATCAATTAAAATTTATAATTTATGTTAAAGTTTCTTTATAATATCTTATTCAACCTTTTGAATTCACATTTCTTAATTATAGACTATTTGACTACGGCTACACAAAAATTCGGTAAAATTGAAAATCTAAATCGGACCTAACCGAATTGGACAATTTGGTTTGGTTTACCAATGGTTGGTTCAATCACTGTTTCAAATTTGTGAAATCGTCAAAATACAATTTGGTTACGATTTGACGTCCTTTAAGTTTGAACCGAACCAAACCGAACTGTTAAATTATATACATATATATATATGTATGTATATTAAATTATACATATAATATAATATAATTCTATAGTGGCGGAATATTGTTGATTTCCTGAATTGTAGTATGTTGTTGAATTAGTAATTCTAAATGTATTATGGTATTAGCAGTCTTGAAGGTGTTCACTAATTCATTTCGGTTCTAGAAGTGACAGAAAAAAATAAATTAGAAGTTCGGAATATATTAACAGTTTTGAATGTATTAACTTATATTTTATAAGTGAACGTATTAGCAATTATGAATATGTTGGTTATCTTGTTTATTGTTGTGCATTTGGATTTTGAAATATAAATATTTCTATAACATTAAAAATAATAATAATAATAATAATAAAAAGATGAACTGTGGAATCAAATCGAACTGAATCGGTGTTTCACGGTTTGGTTTAGTTTGGTTCAGTTCTTTTGGTCAAATGGCTTAGTTTGATTCTACATTTTTTGTAACCATTATATATGCTCAAACCGAATCGTGTGCACCCTTAGATTTCACATTGTTGATATAATGAATAAAGTGCATTTCTTTGTCTGCCGTCGCTAAAAAAAAAAATAAAAAAAATGCATGTGAGGTGTCTGGTAACATATTTTATAAAGTATTTTTTACAATTAAAGTATATTTTAATTTATTTTGTAACAAACAAATTAAAAACTATAGAATGTTACCATATTTAATAATAACAACTTGTAAAAGGAAGAGTGATTTTGTCTTTATAAAAAAAAGGACAAAATTGTATAAAAAACAGTTACCAAATATATACAATCTCTACCCATAACACATTTTAGATTCATACAAAAGTTTTATAGAGCAAAATTTGACATTCATTAAAAGTACTTTTAGTAGTTATTAAATACATTTAAACGCTCTATTTAAAAAAAAAAATTCAAAAGAAGGCTCCTGTGTTGGCTTTGTTGTTGAAATGAAAAAAACGCTTTTGTCACTATAGCTTTAAAAAAATTATTGTTGGTGAAAAATATGTTAAGTGTTTGGTGACATAATATAATAAATATTTTTTATAATTAAATAAAATTTTAATTTGTTTAATAATAATTTTTTTTAAAAGTTATGTATTGCTAATTTTACAATAATATCTTTTAATATAATGTCACTATATTTGATAATAGTAACTTAGGCTATACTTATCTTTATAAAAAATAAAAAGGACAAAATTGTATAAAAAAAAAAATCTAAAATATAGAATCTCTATTTGGAATACAATTTTTAAAGTTCCAAATTAAACTATTACCAAACACGCCTAAATAAAATTTTTTTTTTTTTAATTGAAAAACAATCGCAAAGGGTTTTGCACTGAAAGTCTATAACATATATTCTAGAAGCACCTATAATTTTTGCCCTCGGTATATATTTTGGAATTAATAGAAAAAACAATTATTTAATTACGCTAAATTTGAGGGGAGTTTTTGGTAAATTACTAAAGAAAAAACAAGGAAAAAGAAGACAGCTATCAATGAAAGGCATCCAGAATAGCCGTCTCAATCCTGTGGCTTTCAATACCTTTGCCGTACCTCTCTACTGCAGTTGGTTTCTCTCTCGCTCTATCCCTCTCTCTCTCTCTTTCTACATTTGTCTCTGCTTTTCGATCAGCCACTGTGAGTTGTTAAGCTCAGATTCACAAAACCCTAGCCATCTTCTTTCCGCTATATTCATAGCATCTTCAATGTGAGCCTCTCTCTTGCTCTCCCTAGATTTATGTATGTATATATATATATACATATATGGAATACATGTTTTTTGATTACTCTATTCTTGATTCATTTGATACGGCGTTCTTGTTTTGTGTTTCTTATCTCTTGATTTATCTGCCAAATGCATTATGTTTTCGTGATTCTGATCGGCATATAGAAGGCTGTTTTGGATGGCATCTGTTTCCTACATTAGGGTTTATGAAACCCTTCTTTCTCTCTTTTCATGTATATATTTGTATATATAATGATTAATATTTAGTTAAATTTATCTTTTTTGTTGTTGAATTCATTAGTGCAATCATGAGCAACGAAGAAGAAAAGAGATGCCCTCTCTGCGCAGAAGAGATGGACTGGACGGATCAGCAATTGAAGCCTTGTCAATGTGGTTACCAGGTTTGACATTCTAGTCTCTGTAGAAATTTGGATATGGAGCATTTCAATATTATTTAAAGTAGGTTTCATTTTTTTCAGGGTTTTGATTCTGGTTATTCCAACTAATTTGTTCCCCATTTTCGTGTGGATCATTGCAACAATATTTTTCCTTTGAGTGCGTCTTGGTCAATTTTTTCACTTGGCCTTCACGATGCAGCTGTTGTTTGATCTTATATTGCCACGAACTAGTTGGAATATGAATAAAAAGTTATCCTGGAACAAGAGTCAATGGTGCAATTTAATACCCTCTTTTTTGATAAGTACTTGTTTTAGTCACTCTTTAGCAAAGTGGCTGTCTTTATTAAAATTATTTTGTTTCTTCAATGATGAGTTCTTGATTTCTAGAGTACTTAACCTAACTGTTTTCCAACTATGTGCATCAACAGCCTCATTCTGGCTGCCTGAAATTGAGCGAGTAGGTTTGAGTACCCAAATTAACTAGCATGTCTTCTTGGTTCATTAATTAAAATGCTTCATTGCTTGATTTAAGAGTGAACTCACGAGATGCATATAACGTCCTAGTTTCAAATGGGTTAAATAGCATCAGTATTCACATCATAATGTTTACAGCATGCCTAACTTCTTCATAGAAAATGCAACTGAATGTTCGTTTTGACTGGAGGTTATATTGGTCTTAACATGTACTGCATCACAATTACCTTTAATATTGCCTGAAGAGGTACATCTTTGATTAAGAAAAGGATCCTGCATTTTGTAGTTTCATTAGCCCAGAATTATCTTTTACTTTCAAAGTAATTTTGCTCACCACTTTTCAACAATTGGTGAATTTTTGCTGTTTAGTTGTGGTATCGCGATGAAAGTTAGTTAGAAGTGGTCATTCATGGCATATGCAAATGCAATTTTCCTTTGGTGTTGCTGGATGCATATCTTCTCTCTCTTAAACTTTGTCTTATAAACTTTTATGTGCTTAAATGAACATCATGTTTAGGGGTTGCACCTTTGTCCCACTTGGAGAAAATTGATTTGAATGGGTATTTAGGCCAATTCGTTTTGGTGGTTTGGGTCTTAGAAGATTGGTGCCTTTCAATAAGGCTCTTCTTGGTAAATGGTTTTGGAGATTTGGGGTGGAGAGGCATTGGCTTTGGAGGAGGGTCGTTGCTTGTCGTTTTGGGGAGTCTAGAGGAGGGTGGTGTTCTTTGGAGGTGCGTGGCCCTTGGGGTGTGGGGGTTTGGAAAGTCATTCGGAAGGGATGGGATGAGTTTTCCAAACACGTTCGTTTTCGCATTAGGGATGGTAGGAGGATCAGTTTTTGGGAGGATGTGTGGTGTGGGGATTCTCCTCTCGCCATCTCTTTTCCTCATCTTTTTAGGATTGCTACGGATAGGCAGGCCATGGTGGTTAACTGTTATCATCTTCATGGTGGGACTCTTGTTTGGGATGTTCGATTCAGGCGGTTGTTTCGGGATTGGGAGATTGAGGAGGCCATTCGTTTTTTGGAGTTGTTGTATCGCTAGAGGATTGTGGATGGGGTTTCTGATTGTTGGTCCTGGGTTTCAACCTCTCATGGGCGCTTTGAGGTTAAATCCTTTTTCAGATGCCTCACGGATGTTACTAGAGCTCGCTTCCCTTGGAAGGCTGTTTGGCGCTCTAAGGCTCCTCTCAAGGTGGGTTTTTTTTGCTTGGTCTGCTGTTTTGGGAAGGATCTTAACCCAAGATAATTTGAGAAGGCGAAATCAGGTGGTGGTCAATCGTTGCTATTTGTGTCTTCGGGATGAGGAAACTGTGGATCACCTTCTCCTCCATTGCACCATGGTTAGAGACTGCTGGAATTTGATGTTTGGCTTGTTTGGGATTCTTTGGGTTATGCCTGGATCCGTTAGAGGGTTGATTGAGGCTTGGAGAGGTTGCCGTGTGGGGCCTCACATTCTGGATGCTTGGAGGGCTACGCCTCTTTGTGTGTGGTGGTGTATTTGGCTTGAGAGGAATAGAAGATATTTTGATGGGAAAGAGTTGTCGATTTCTACTCTTAAATTCTCTATTATTTCCACCCTTTTTGTTGGGTTTCTGGGAGAGATCATAGATCTTTAGAGGAAATTGTCGATTTTTTGGGCTCTTTGAAGGCTTAAAGGTCCTTGGTGGCCTTGTGTATATCTTCAAGGCTTCGCTCCCCTTTTGAGTGCTTTTATAAAATTTTCTTACTTATCAAAAAAAAAAAAAAAGTTTCTGAATTAGAAGCTGGAATTGTTTTTCATTTTTGAGTAGCCTGAACCCAGGAAAAGTTGTCAACTTTATATGTGGTTCAAAAAGATACGGAAGCTATAATCATGTTCTACTTCTGAGTGGCTTGAACCCAGAAAAAAGTTGTCTACTTTGTATTAATTTTTTAAAACCCTAATACATTTAGAGCATTCTGTAACTGATCATTTCATCTGTTTTTCTTATATCTAATTAACAACTGTAAGCTTCTGACAAAAGATGTTTCACTTGGTTTGTTGTGTGTGTGAAGGTATAACTATGTAATCATACCGTAGGACGTAGCAACGCATTGTTGATATTAAAAATCATAAATCATTTTGAAGTTTGTATTTTCATTAATAATAGCTTTGGAAAATTAGGCGATAACCATTCTGCAAATTTGTATTTTCATCAACGTTTATAATCACATTGATGCTGCTTGTGTGTCCAAGGAGTGGGATTTGAACAAAGCGCATATAGTGATGATTGTTTCTGTGGGTTGATCATTTGGTGTCTATCTTCTCATTATAAGATGCTATACCAAAGGTAAAAAAATTGATTTGATTAGCATGGAGTTCCTAGTATGAGTGATTCACTTTGTCACGTGAAATGTTTATTTGAGTACATTAATAGTTATTATATGATTAATTTTTTTTTTCTCTATTTATTATGTTTGCTTAATTCATTATTTCCCTGTAATTCTCTTTAAATAGTAAGTAATAAGTTAATTAACATCTTTGTAATTCCCCCCCCCCCCCCCCCCCCCCCAAAATTTATGTTTTCTTTCATGAGTGTCAATAGTATAATTTAGGTAATAGTTCATAGTTCAAGGGTCTTCAATTTGTTTGGGTCAAATGTTATAGAGCTGGAGATTGTCGATAGCCATAGGCCGTTGCTTGTAGACTCAGAGTTGTGTTTTGGTTGAAAATGTCAAATTTATGAAATAGCCTCTTTTTGTTGGCCTACTAATCAGGAGGATGTGGAAAGTCTTTGGAGGAAGTGAATAGGAGCAAAGTATGCCACACTTGTTAAAAGGGCATTGCTTGGTGCAATGGTAAAACGTTGGGCTGCTAAGTTTTTCTTTTTCCTTTTGTCTTAGATGTATGAGACTACTCTAGTTAGCTCCATATCATATTTTACTTGGGCTCTGATTCAGCCTGGATCAAACGTGACATAGATTTGCTTTGGCTTATTTCCATCCAGATAGTTCTTGTAGTATCCAGTTGACTATGATGAATGAAAACAATGATTTCAGGAGCTAGGCTAGGTAAGTTGCTCAACATTTCTAATTCATGACTTCATTTTAACCAACTAAAAGGAATGGAGGAAGCGGGAGTTCATATTGATGTAATGTGTTACTGTTATGTCTTCAAGCTCCATGTGGTTACATGAAACTAAAGCAAAGAGTCTTCTTCAGTGAACATTGATCTGGTCTTGATAGACTAACCATTTAAATTTTCAATACATATTTATCTTTAGTGACAACATTGTTTTGTGCAGCATTGAAAGATATAAATTGTTGTATGGTGGCAATGATTAATTTATCTATACTGTTCCCCATATAATGATAGGTGTGTGTTTGGTGTTGGCATCACATAATGGACATGGCAGAGAAAGACAAGACAGAGGCACGATGTCCTGCATGTCGGACATCCTATGACAAGGAAAAAATTGTAGGGATGGAAGCAAATTGCGGAAGGTTGCTATTCTTTTGTGACCAAGTTATTTGTCTGCCTGGATTATATAGACATAAAGTTTTACTTTGAATGCTCCTTTTGGCTAGGTTGGTGACCGTCAATACGAATCGAAAACATAAACCACAGAAGGCAAAGCCAAAAACAAATGAAGGGCGAACGGACCTTACCAATGTTAGAGTAATTCAGCGGAAAATGACATATGTCATTGGGCTTCCTCTTATTCTAGCTGATGAAGATGTGCGGAGCTCCTCTACCTCTGTTGTTCTGACAAAAAAGAAAAAAAAACTTCAACTTTGTATTGAGTTATTTCCCTCGGTCTCTGACCATGTTTTTATGGTTTTGAGCAGCTCTTGCAGCGAAAGGAATATTTTGGTCAGTACGGAAGGGTGTCCAAAGTTTCCCTATCTCGAACGGCAAGTGGGGCTATTCAGCAATTTATTAACGACACTTGTAGTGCGTAAGTTTATTTGCTTTTAACTTGAGTAGTAGCTGTTTATATGTGATATTACATTTAATCTAATGTTGTACTCTGAAGTCCTAATTCTTTGTGCTCCAACTCTTAGCCTTCAACCTTTGAGGTTAAATTCTTCCCCATTTTTGGCACCTGGCCTTGAATGCGTGCTACTACCCTGCTTGCTTTTAAGAAGTGCTTGACGTTTCCCTCCATTTGCATGTAAAACTTTCTTCCATCCCCGATACTTCATGTTCTTTCATGATAGTAGATACGAGAAATAATCATCCTTAAGAATGCACATCTACTACCACTATCTTTTTTTAAATTTGAGACATTAATCACAAATCAACTAAGCATTTGTTTGCATACTTTATTATAGAAAATGCGTGTTACAATTTGTCAGTGTTGCCAAATGGTTGATGAACTCCTCCTTAGATGTTCTTTTTTCATTCTTTACATCTTTGGTTGTTTAACAGGAGAAACTACCAGGTTGTACTGGAATAAAATACTTTAAAATATAAGAAAACTTATTTTCCATAATTGTTTTAACGATGGTCATTTCTTTATGTTTCACGGTTCTTAACAGTTCATCTTGTTTATATTTTCTTTCAGTACAATATTGTTTGCTTCTGATATTATATTATTGGACCTGACATGCCGACTATTCACTTGGTTCTTTAACTATTTGGTTCTTTAATTAAGCCATTTAGATCAAACCAGTGCAACCTGTTTAAAGCAGTTGGATTTTTAGCTGTCCTTTGTATTGTGCAAAAAAATAAAAAAAATTTAGCTGTCCTTTGTGGCTTCGACAGTTTTTATTTATTTTTTATATGATAGGATGTTGTAAGACTTGGACATAGTCACACAGATGCCTATCTGCACTGAAAAGGTAGTGGGGTTCAATCTGGATGGAAAGTGCCACATCCGGCTGGCAAATTCTATAGTTAACCTGTTTGAAGTGGCTGGATTCTGAGCTACTGGTGTGGCCCACACAGTTTAACCAATTGTTGCTGTTACAAGTCTAAAAAAATATGGTATATAGGGGGTTTGCAGAAAAAAATAGAGGAAGGGTAATGCCCAATCCGGATGGAAGGTGCTTATTAACCTGCCTCAGTGTCTCTCATCAAGGTTGACAAGGTTTACGGGTTGGGTTTTGGGGGCCTGGCTTTTAACCAAAGAAGGAAAAAGGAATTTCCAATCTCTTTCTGATAGGTGATGTTAGTGACTCCGTCCACTTCTTTAAATATTTGATTGGTAGCAATCAAGTACTAAATTTGTGGATGATGTTTTTAGTTATTTTTGAATTGATCTTTATAATGATGGTTTGTATTAGTTGGAATTCCATTATTACTATTTACAGCCTCGAATTATCGTCAAGTTAAAAGTGTGTTATGTACTTATGTCATAATTAGTACATCACAACATAATTTGTAACGTACCCTGCTGATTGACTGATAAATATTGCCTTGAAAAAGAAGGCAAAAACTATGTTTCGCTAGAAACTGCCAGATATCCTTTTAGTACTGCTGGATATCGTGTAGGGTTTACTCTGGACCTTTTGGTGTTGGACCAAAACACCCTGCAAAGAATGGAGATTTATGGGAGTCTACAGTTCAGACTGTAGTTGTTACAGTCATGCGACTGTTCTTATGTACATAGAATCCTTATTTGGCTGCCCTTTGGTTGTATAATATTATTGTTTGTTAATAATTGTTGTGATCCCTTTGTTTCCTCAGATATATTACTTACTCAAAAGAGGAGGAGGCCATTCGATGTATTCAGTCAGTGCATGGTTTTGTCCTGGAAGGTAGGTATTTAAGGTAAGGACATATTCTCTTTCCCTACCTTTAATTACTTGAACGTGCAATCCATCAGTTATCTTGGTGACCATTTGCAATTTTCTTTTGCAGAGCATCATTTGGGACTGCAAAGTATTGCCATGCATGGTTGAGAAACATGGTATGTATTTAAGTTACTTTGAGTTTATTGATTATGTCAGAATTTCTGTGTGTTAGAGGATTTTTAATGACCCTAAAGAAGAAAAGTGAATTCTAATGGGAATGTTGTCTTCGTTATCTCCAGCCTTGTACAAATCCTACTTGTTTATATTTGCATAACATTGGTGCTGAAGAAGATAGCTTCAGTAAAGATGATGTAGCTGCAGTGCATACAAGGTATCACATGCACACATTTCATTCCTTCTTCATTCTTATATTTACATTCTTTTCATTGCACGGAGACAATGTCAGGATTAACATAGGTTGAAATCTAATGGAAGTGCTTATGCCATATGAGATAACGAGTTGGGTTAATGGATACATATTAGTATATCACCAAAATTTTAGTTTGGATTCATGATGCATTTAGCTCTCTAGCAGTAGAATGATGTGGACTTGTAGATTTAGTTTATCTCAGTTCCTTCTCCAGCGAACTTTATTTCTTAGAAATCTATGATTTGATATCTGCTGACACATATGCATTCCCTGCACCGAAGCACTTGTCTGCAACCTTTATCACTTCATGTGTGAACTTTTGGGCATATGCGTTAAATCGACCTTTCAAAAATCTATAATAATTCTCAAATAAGTAATACATTTACTATTTGGGAAAAAGGTAAGGATGATGATGATGAATAAGTAATACATTTACAAAGGGACTCCACACTGGGTACTTCTGATTCTCTTGACAACAGTCTTGTTGAAGGTTTTCATTGACCCGCCACCCACTAAATTTGAGAAATCATATTCCTGAATGTCCTATTCAGTCTGGTTCTGAAAATGGACAAGGAACAGCTGTGTCAATCAGAGAGATGACATTTTGTAAAGGACTCACCGGTTATGAATAATAATTCAAGGTAAGACATGGCAGTTGATAATTCCTCAAAATGAATTACTTGTATAGATAAAAAAAAATCCTCAAAATGAATTGTTCAACTCTTGGCAAGAAGTCAACAGCATTTCCTTAAGCGTGCTTTTCCACCTAGTATTTTTTCTCCTGCAAATGAATTTTTAACAGTTAATTTTGGGATACTTTTAGTAGTTTGTGGGCACATAGGTGTTCCGTATATTCTCTTTTGCTAGTTTGCTTTGAAATTAATGGTATTGAGTTTTCTTTCATCAAGTTGACATAAATTATGAGAGTTCCTTTTATAACGTTTGCGACAAAATTGAGTCTTGAAAAGCTTATCAAGGCATTAGTCATATTGAACTTTTCTATCTGAGGCTAAGTTCTTTTCATATTTTATGTTTCTATAAGTTTCCTTTCAGTGGTTCAGCTACTCTTGGGAATTTATTTTTCCACTTCCAGCTTCAAATTCGTTTTTGCTTTAGTGCATTCATTTCTTGCTTCAGTTGCATGTTTTGCAAGAATGTTCTTTGGTGCTAGCTCATTGTGTGATTAACTTGAACTTAAATTGTGGTTTTAAAGGAATAGAGTTCAACAAATTGTTGGTGCTACACAATATATGCAACGGCGTTCAGGAAATGTGTTGCCTCCACCAGTGGATGAGCCTTTCAGTATCAATTGTGTTTCTACTGGAAAAGAAGTTGTCAAAAGTGGCTCAAAAGTACGAGTTTTGGTTTCCACATTTGCTATATTGCTTAAAAATATTTTCTGGCCATTTAAAATATGAAGCACTATTTTATTGGGTGTTTAAAACAGTAGTATTGTTTTTAGAATATAAAGGAACTATGTAAAAAAAATTGACGCATTGCTTATCAAAACTTATCAATTGTGTTCATGATATTTGGCGTGGATTTTCCAACCACCTTATTTGATGCATCGTTTTGATTGTCCAGGATGCAGCCCTTACTGCAGTAACTTCGAATGGTCACTTGGCCTGTTCGCTTTCATCATATAAAGATAAAGATGGAAACGGTAAACCGCCTAACAAAATGACTAGTTTTGTAGATATAGTTGGACGGCCTTGTATTTCTGTTCCAGAAAAAGATTGGGATGGTGCTGAAGATACAAAGACCGTGAACTTATGCTCTGAGTTGTCTTCAGTAACCATTCATACTGACAGTAATCTCGTGGCTGAACACTCTGATGCTATGCCCAGTAAAATTGATGCTATGCCATGTAAAATTTCATCTTCCACTCATCTTCCCACTGGACTGCCGGGGAAGAAAGAGGCTCAAGGATATTCAATGGAACCATTTAGGGAACCTTTAAATTTGTCAGCATCAGGGAGAGCTGATTTAAGACCCAGTGATGCGTGCTTTACAAATGAACAATCATTTTTTATGTTTGATTCCGGAAGATCAATATCGCATTGTTCGCGTAGTGATGTAAGAGAAGAATTAGTATCTTCTGATGATCAAAGATCGAAGGATTCTGATAGCTCAAGCCAAACCGGTTGTCTATTTCCTTCATCTTATCCTGTTAAAGATCATTCTATTAATCATGCTTGGCAGCATAAAGAGACCTGTAGTTTAGGTGATTTCGATGTAGATGGTTGCACTGTAAATAATCATGTGGATGAAGCTTCTATACAAGTTACACCTCTAAATTCAATACCAATCGATGGATATGATGAGAGGAAATTCCAAAATTCTGCTGAATCAGATAGGATTTTTAGAAGTTCGAATTCGTTCTCCAATGAAGAAATCATCGAGCAGTTAAGAAGACTTGATAATGATAACTCGGCCAACGATGATAATTTGGCTTTAAATGCAGTGGAGAGCAGCATAATTTCAAATATTTTGTCCATGGATTTTGATGCGTGTGATGATTCCTTGACCTTGCCTCACAGTTTAGCTGAATTATTTGAGGACACTGACAGGCATCATGGTTCTTCCTGGAATTTAAATAATAGCGACCAGTCTGGGTTCTCATTTGCAAAACAAAAGGATTTTGTGAACCAAGTAACTGATTTGGAGTCATCATCTCTCAGTAGCATTGGCCACACGTCAAAAAATTATTCTGCTTTTCAAGGTTCTGTGCAAAACAAGGAAAGCTACTTCTGTAAGCCTCAGCATCATGGTAATGTCATTTGGTTATAGCATTCTTCTATATAACTTCTGATGTTTCTCATATTCTTCTACATATCTTTAGCATCCTTCTAGTTTATACTCAAAATCTGTTCCTTTTCTACTGTTGGCTTACATTTAGCTATGTATCGGTTTGCTTTTCTTTCTTCAACACAAACTATTATGCTGTTTTTTTTTTTCCCAATTGATTGCTGCAAATCCTAGGAATAAGATGTTAGTTGGTGGTTATCTTAGTAGTATGTGATTTCCCCCATGATATTTCACTCCATGTCAGTCATGGTTTAATGTCATCGTTCAGTTGTGTGACTTTTATCTTCGGTAAGATATTTCCGTTTTATGTCATTGTTTTTTTTATAAATGTTCTCCTTGGCATATAATTTACTGCAATGGTACTACAAGGAAGTGCCAAGTCGAGTCTAGTTGGTGGGGAATGCCTAGTCTTTAAGGGGGTTATAAGATGCAGATGCTGGTTTTCTATTCTGGGGTTCTTGTAGTTTATGATGATATTGTAGTTCATGCATGTTTTTCCACGCATGTTTCTTGTTAATGGGGATTCAGATATTAATGTGTTCTACATCGGCCTTCTCCAACTACTACTGTATTGAAGAATGGTGATTTTATTGTTTGTTCTGCTGAATGTGTTTGAAATATTGTTGGTTGGTCTTCCCTCCAATATATGCAGGGAAATACAGGGGCTATTAGCCTATTACTGATGCTTTTCATTTTTAGTACTTGATTTTGCCCCTCTTATAATTTACATCTGTATGTACAAGGTCTGGGAGCATGTGTTTTAGGTTAAAAAATCTCCCTCCCCTCTTCTACAGCTGCTGAGGGATAAATAAGTTTATCAATGAATATTAGTATGCATTCAAGGTTAAAAATTCTTGATACTACAAGTGTGGCTTCTTCTATAGCTGCTGAGGGATGAAAATTTTATAAAATTTGTTGATACTGTATTTGATCTCTTCTTTATGGGACAATTATTATATATACATACATACATATGATGGTAATTTTTTTCATTTTCCGTTCTTTTATTTTTTTGTAGTTTATAAGAGAATTCTGCAATCTAATCATTAGATACAGCTTTACAAGTGTAGAATTTGAAAATTACTTGTATGGCTGCCAAGTTGGCGTTCTGCTACAGAGTGCTTGTAAGACTGAATTCTAGCTAGACTATTGCAAAGTTTGCTGTGGTAGATGGCTAGAACACTTTATTGGGCATGCCAATGATAGCTTTGGAACACGTATTTCCCCTAATATTTGGGGGTGGAAGCGGGGAGGGTTGTAATGTCTTGTATAACAGCTTGTCAAGTTTAGTTGTTATTTTTTATAATTTCCCCCCTTCAAAAACTTTGAGATTCTAGAATCAACTTACATCGCATCTCAGAAGTGGAATGCAGAGAACATGCTGAATATGTAGCGGATTTTCATTATCTAATAGAACATAAGAGTTGGCATCTTTTCAGAAGTTCTCAATGTGTTTATTGTATTGTACTGTCTGAAGATTCGACCATCAATATGCTCTGATTAAGATGATTTTTGTTGCCAGTACTGGCTTCACTAATTTTGAATTTATGTTTTATAGTTAGATTTATCTTTGCAGTTTTTGCAATAGTTTAATATGTGATATTTCCAACGAATCAACTAAATACTTGCCCCCGAAAAAGAAAGAAAGAAATGAATGATAATAAAGATATCTCCAACTAAATGGCTTATACTATCATGTCACAATGATGGTTTTCTGGCTGTGTCCTCTGTCCTGAGCATTCAATTATTTGGTGCCCATTTGGATTGCATACCTGCTTAATGTCAAGCTCTTTGTAACATGATTTTGTTTTACATATTTCAGCGTGTCAGTTTTTCATCTAACAATTCTTTTTAACAGTGTCCAGGGCTCAAAGTTTGACTCCCCCGGGATTTTCAATGCCATCGAGACAGCCACCTCCTGGGTTTTCTGCAAGTGACAGAGCTGACCATGTTCTCAGTGCTCCCTCTGGTTTGCCCCTATCTCTCTCCCCCCAACAATCACGTGATGAGTTAGGAAATTACTAAGCTTTGTTATCTGCCTTCTTTGTATCCAGGGAATCACTTTGCTAAAACTCCCTCCCTGCAAAACAATCAGCATTGTGCACTATCAACAGGAAATATCGGCCACGTTGGTGATTTTGACTTCACTGATCCTGCCATATTACTTGTTGGTAGAGGCAAGCCTACAAATGGTTTGAATGTTAATCCAGGCTTTGATATGAGGCTAGCTTGTAATCCACAAACTAGTGCATACGAAGAGCAGGCAAAACTTTGGCTTATGATGCAGCAGCAACAATCTACAGCTGCTGCACATCAGGACCCAAAAATTTCTCAGTTTTTCATGCAAGAGTCCCCATTTGCACATCAGGAACTGAGGCATCCTGCTCGCTTTGGGGATGGGTTTTCTCCCTTGGGTGATACTTACGGAATTTCTCCAAGGTTTGCGGACCAACACCTGGCTTATAATCCATCCGCCTTCACCCCAATGTCACAGCAGAAATTTGGAAATGTACAAATGTCAAATAGCTTTCAGCCCACTTTGGAAGAGCTCCAACGTAGAAATGAAATTGGCATGGCAGAGCTTCAGAGAAACGAGAGATTAGGATTCAACAAGTTCTTTCCGGGGTATGGAGATTTAATGTTACAGATGCCGAATTCAGGCGATGTATACAGCAAAGTGTATGGGATGTAATTCTCGTTTCTTGTTGAAAATGAATCTGTCCTTTTGACCTTATTAGCCATGTAGATTCAGTAAGATGGAAATTTCTATGGTTAAAAATGATTGATGATACATTTTAGCAGGATTGTCACATTACTGTTTGTTGCAGCTGTCTCTCTTTCAGGAGCTCAAAAACGGATCCTGCTTTTGTAAATCGGATATTATTGAAGATTGTGAAGAAGGAATCATCTGTTTGGAAATTCGTTCTTATTTTAGGTAATTCTGCTTGCAATACTCCAGTTAAGTATTTTATTTTATCAGCAACTTCTAATGAGATGTTTGGTGAATTTCATTGACTGGAAATGTATGCTTTTAATACCCATGCAAATGATAGTCTGATTATGATCTAATCTCGAGGCTTGGCAAATTCTACAAGATGGTGGAATTGTACCTATGGTGGGAAGGTAGTGAATGCTATGGAATTGATTTATATACAGGTGATTTGTTTCCCTTTTGTTGAAGACTGGGAAATGGGGTATTACCCTGTATCTTAGTTGGAAGAGCGCCCAACTTCCCGAGCCGAGCAGGTGTGCCTGTGTGTGAATCCCCTCTTTCCCTAGTTTGCCGGGGAAAAATGAGGGAGGGAGGGACTGTTGAAATCTAAAGAATGTATACTCTTTTCACACAGCATACATGGAATGTTTTCAGTGCTGCTCATCTGAATGGTTAGAGCTGCAAAAGTAGGTCAGAATTTAATTATCGGTAGAGCGCCCAACTTCCCGAGCCGAGCAGGTGTGCCTGTGTGTGAATCCCCTCTTTCCCTAGTTTGCCGGGGAAAAATGAGGGAGGGAGGGACTGTTGAAATCTAAAGAATGTATACTCTTTTCACACAGCATACATGGAATGTTATCAGTGCTGCTCATCTGAATGGTTAGAGCTGCAAAAGTAGGTCAGAATTTAATTATCGGACCCAGATCCTCTTAAGTTGTATTTGTGTAGGTTATCGACTAAGATTTTGACATAGAATGGTTAACGTAGGGGAGAATCAACTTAAGAGGATCCACTTCCATCTAATTATACCTTTGACGACAATCCTTCATCTATCTTCCTTCACATTTGCCAATCCAAACTCTTCTACTGCGAAATTAGCTTCTGTGGTGGTAAGTTTTATTTAGTTTATGCGGTCACTGCTAGGTGTGTATGTGTGGTGGTTTACACCCAGAAGAGAACCATTAAAGAACTGAGGTTATGTTTTGCTATTACACCAAGTAATGACCCGGACAAAAAATGGTTGGTTTAAGTGATATGCACCCATATAGTGGGAAGTTTTAAATACCATGAAATTGGTGGATAAATGAATGTTGTGAGGATTGTTGAATCAAATTTACCATTTTCGTGCAGTAAGGAGAAATGAGAAGGCTTGCAAAGAAATATTTAAGAACATAACTTGCTAGCGCAAAAAGGTGATGCCAATCACCAAAGAAAATGTTATCAAATAAAACCAAAAAAAAAAATTAAAAAAAATAAATAAATGATTAAATGGTGTAACTCTTAGAGGTTGAAGTGGTAAGGTGAGCTTTGCGTTGATTGTGAAGGTTGTTGATTGTGAAGGTTGTGTTTTATGAGAAAGGTTGCTTGCCACTTGCACCAAAAGGTGGCCCGCTCCTTTCAGAGTTGTAAACCTCAAACCTAGTCAGCAGCATGCCATCATTTAAAAACATTAGGTCTCTCTCTATACCTTACAATTCTTTCTATAATGGACCTAGGAATTCGTTTTAGGGCACGACAAAAATAAATATATTATCTAACTGTGCAGCAAGACAACTAGTCAATGAAACAACGCAATATTTTCACAAAAAAAAAAAAAAAAAAAACATAATCTAAGGATCTTTTTGGCAACAAGTTTTATTTTGCATTTGCATTTTCAATTTCATATGAAACAAACATAGTAAAGTTTTTTTTTGGCTGTGTGGGTGGGTCCCAAACAAAAAATGTTTGGTAATTAGTTTGTTGCACAATATTTCATAATTAAAAATTGTTTGAATTATTTTAAAAAATTGTGTTTATATTATATTATTATTATTTTTGAAAAATAATAATAATAATAAAAATAAATCTCGTTTTATGTTCAATCACAATAATAAAACAAGTGAAGTGGGAAAAAAAACAAAGAAAAACATTGGTCCCCACTGTGGCGGTTTTGGATTTTTAGTTTATTTTATTTTTTCTTCTGGAAGTTTACAATATAATAGTAGCTGTTGAGAAGGGTTGTCATCTACAATAACCTCTTGGCATTATCATTGCTATAGTGTATGTCCTATTTAACGAGATGGTGGAAAAAGAAAAAGTACAAAATTTTGAAAACTAGACCTAGCTTTTGATCATATTACGCAAAGTGGTTGTTCTTAAATTTAAATTTACGTTCATGTTTGTTGATTCAAACTTTTTGATTGTACGGGTTAATGACTTTTTTAAAACAAGGCACAAGTCAAGTATTAAATAGGTATACTCGCTCGCAGAACTAAATGCTCTATCAATTAGACCACTGAACCATCTGATTTAATATTATTAATTTAAAATGATAAGAATCATCTAATAAAGAACCAAAGAGATTGCAGATTATTGCATATAATTCATGTGGTTGCTACGACTTTAAGCAAGTGTGGTAGTGAAGGGTCCTATTTTTGCAACTTGTACAGTATAGAGCATATCAAAAGTCGAAAGAAGTCCATCATGGATGCTTCACATTCCTTTGTTTGAAAAGGTCACAGCCTCTGATTTCTTAGCAGCACTTGATGCGCTCAACAATACAGCATAAAGGAAAATTCAATACGATACCACACCACACGCTGAGCCTCACCTGTTGTAGTGGAGAACCTACAGTTACGTAAAACACCCGATAAGTTATGATTCGTCATGTCGTTCGATACACGACTCTTTTTCAAATTCGATACGCAATCCGTATCGACCAATTTATACTAACTTTATTCGAGTCCATTGCAACCGTGACAAATACTACGAACCAAGCGTAAAGTGTATCATTACTTTACTATAAAAACGAGAAACTATATCATACTCGGGGTACTTACACGTCATACCTCCGGCGAATTGACAGTCATGAAATGGGAGTTTTCAAGAAAAAAAGCACGACTCTCTATCGGTCACTATTTAAAGACATAAAACAGTAAAAACAAAGTTATCTCATACACACACTTCTAAAAGATAAAACCAGTCTCTTTGTGCTTTAGGAATATCTAGTTTTGTCTAAAAATTCAAGGTAGACTAATGATCTCCTTACATGTAAGAAGGTAACATGAAAAGCCTCCGAAGAAAAGAATAGTTTTAGACATTTACAAAGGCAAGTTTGGGGGCATTATATCAATCTATGCTTGATATTATATATGTCCTTATAAAATCATGGATATTAATGGATTTGGATACTACTGTTACTGGTCTATCTTTCCTGCTCAACTGACCTTCCGAATACGTATTCATGGTGTTGCTTCAGTTCTTGTGATTGTAGAAGTGAGAACTGCCGGTTGGGGGCGTTGGAATGCAGAGTTTTTGGGTGGTCATGTCATGTGGATTTAGTTGGGGGACGGTAGTCGACAAAGCAGTAGCGGAAGAGAATCCTGATGATGCTGCATTAGAGAACAGTGGCACCGGGGAAACCGTGTTATTCCCGTGCATTTGCCAGGCCCAGTTCGCGAATCCCGGTGGATGAATGCCTACAGCCCTCTTTCCCATTGCTCTTTCCTGTTGACAAACAACATATAGCCATCATTTTTGGCAGTCATTGCTCTTTTTTTAGCTTCTTTCTTTAAGCAACTACCAGAAACAGAATTACTCATCCTGCATTGAATGGCCTTTCTCCATATGATAAAATATACAAAAATGGGGAAAAAATAAAAAATAATTTGATTAAAATACGATAACATGTTCAGCAGATAAAGAAGGGACACTATCAATTATTGGTGTAGCAGTGTCACAATATGTTATACTCTTCTAAAAAAAGGTGCATAACTAAGAACCACACAGCCTTGGAGGATGACATTCCCTTGTTAATGATACCAAAAACGTATATATTAGTACCTTATGGTTAAACGTTTTCGTTGAAACAATGACAAAAATTCAGAGGCCTTTAATTGGTGTACTCTGCAAATCTCAATCTCCATTATCAAAGCACAATCTGAAAGAGTTATTATTTAGCTAAAGAAAGGTATTCTAGGAGGCCAAGTTTATGGCTTAGGTGTTCGGCTATTAGTTGAAAGCAAGTTTAGGCAAAGTCGAGAGGTTATGATCCCAGTACATATAAGCCTACGCAAATAAATATACCTTTATCAGCTAGAACAAGGACTCAAAACATATTATGGGGCGTTGCTTAGCTTTGTCTAGGATCAAAATATTATAGTCTGAAGTTTACTAGGTCCAATAAAAGTTCGTTTTTGTGTCAAATGAATCTGAAAAATAGGACAATTAATAAGAGATGTTCACCTCATTGATTGATGCGAAACTGGGATACATGCGAGACAATATGGAAGAGTGCTCGGATGCCATTGGTAGACCATGGAGAGATTGTTCACACATATAGGCAGAAGCAGAGTTCTCAACCTGTAAAATAGCATAAAAGGGCATTGAACCGTTAACCCATCAACAGATTTAAAATAACCATTACGATTTTTGACCTGTGCCAAAGAGAATGAAACTAGCAATACGTGTTTAGGACATATGGAAATAAAAACCAACAGAACCCTCCAAGATTTTGTAAATGGAACACAATGCTCCCTATGGCTAAAATGGATACAAAAAAGATGCTTGAATTTTTTACAACGAGAAAGAGAAAATGAAGATCTTGCCAAAATGGCTACCAAAAGAGAGTTGATAGAAACATGACGAAGTACTAAGCCCTTTGATTATATGAATACCTTAGGTCTTTTTACATCAGGCATTTCAAAAGCAGCACAACGAAGGTGCAAATCCCTGATGTTGTCATTCCCTTTGGAACCAGCTGAAGGGGGTGAAATCCAGAGGTCCAGATCAAGATTGTGGCCATTGCCTGCACTCATACAATTAGGAAACTCATTGTACTATTAACTAACAAGGATTGTTGGGCAATGCACCCAAAAAAAAAAAAGTAATAAAACAAAATACCTGTATTATTGGCATCCATTATCTCCCCTTTATAGGTACTTGGCTCAAAGTTGGTGACTGCTTCCCTTCCAATAGATTTGATGGCTGCTTTATCATAAGCCCTGGATTGAGAAAATGAAAATGAAGATTTACCCAATAAAATTTGAGATTTCAAAGTGAGAAATTCAGTGTTAAGGAGTATGAATTCATGCTTGCAAGGACCTTGCAGCTTCTATTTCGCTGTCGAATAATCCGAGATACATATACCTGCAAGCAAGCATGATAATTTCATGGATAAAAAAGAGGTCCTTCAATTTTTCTTCTTTGAAGTAAACGATTCTAAATTTGTTATATATCTAGAATGAAGACACACATAATGGCAAGTTCTCATAAAAGAAATCAGAGTTCACTGCACCATGTACCCAATTTTAAACTTCTAAAAGCTACAAGCCTACATCTAGCAATAAATTTGTCCAAGAAATAACAGTTTCAGTTTGGTACTCACTTCTTTCCAAGGAATTGACCCATTCGAGCTTCCCATCGACCACATTTGTGCAAGGTCACTCCTCTGTATTTCGAGCTCCCCCGAGAGAATCCAGTACTATGACGACGAAGTATGTGCACAAATTCTTCTTTTGTCAGGTCTTTCATCTGAAGATCAATTGAAAGAGGATAAATATGCAGTTGAAATTGCTCGAGAAAAATTTCCAGTAACTAGTCACCTATTCTTACTTGTTTAATATCTTCTTCATAATCACTTATATTGAAATTGATATCAGCATCAGCTCCCCGAAACTTGATGGCAGCTCTATCATATGCTCTGAATTATAGTAATCCACATTCAAGAAAGATATAGAAGAAATTCAATTTAACTGAAGGAGTTTCCTATTAGGAATAAACTCTTACCTAGCTGCCACATGAGCAGTGTCAAATCCACCTAGAAAAATCCACACAAATTAATCAAATTAATACCATAACATATTGACATAATTACACGAATAATCTCTCTCCAAGAAAACCAAATGAAGCGATAAAATCAAGCAAATGGATCATTTGCTTACCCAAATACACTTGTTTCCCACAATCCCTGTACAAGGACACAAAAAATTCAATAATAAGTTTACTATTAAGTACATAAATAATATTGTATTCATCAATTCACACACACACATCATCTCACTGCTAAATTAGGGAGTCCGTTGTATACACATCTTTTATTCATTTATTTATTTTTCGGTAATTTTATGCGCCACATAATTGAAAATTTCACAAACAACTATACACGCTTTACCAGATATGTGATTCCCATCGTCCAGTCCTCCGATAAAACGTAACTCCGCGGTACTGCGAGCTCCGAGACCTTGGTCCCCGCCGACTCTTCCTCACCTGAGGCTGCTGCTGCTTCGGTTGCTGATAGGTTTTCAACTCTGCCGCCGCACCTGATTCCGGAAACGAGAGATTCAACCACTGCGGCCGCAACAAAGATGTTGCCCACGGCGACGATCCAGCCACGAACTTCTCCGAATCACCAACTCCTCCGTTCGCAGACAACGGAAAAAGTTGCATTGTGACCAACGCGGAGTCCGAATTTTCATTGCAGTCGGCATTGATTTTGATAATGTTATCGAATCTCTCTTCGCCTTTATTGCAGATATCGAAATTGAAAGCACATAAGGCGTTCGAGACCTTGCTGTGAGTAGAACTCGAGTCTTCGTCTCCGGCAATGTTCGAAGCTTCATCGGTGTTGACGACGGAGGAATTCGGAGTACCGGAATCGTCCACTTGAGCTCCGACGCCTTCCGGAAGCTTCTGGACAGTGTTAGTCGTCTCGCTTTCATCGTAAGTAGAATCAACAAAGACTACATCAACATTAAGATCCAACATCTCTCTATACATATATATATGTGTAATTAATTTCTGAGATTGTAGTTTCTACAGAGCATCAAATTTCAATACACAGAACGAAATCAACCGGTGATAGTGATGAAGATGATGATGTGAGAGCGCGATCGGATCCGAAAATCGATTTCGATGAATAATCACAGATAAATTGAGAGATCTGAGATATGAGATGAAACTCGTCTTCTTCACAGTAACAGTTGGCGAGCAGAGAGAATCAAAACTGATGTGTGAATAAGCAGCTCAGGTGAGTTGCATTTCACAAGTAGAGATAGATAAAGAGAGATTTAGAGAGAGAAAGAGAGAGTCATGGTGGTGAAAATAACGGCCGTTTGTCAGGTTCCATGGGAAGACGAACAAATGTATATAAACAGAGAGAAGAGAGAGAAACGGACTGCAAATGTAGAGAGAGAAAGAGGAGCAGTGGCGGTAAGCCTGTAACTAAAAAAGAACAGATGCGACGTGGGATCTGTGAAGGTATCGCTGTAATACCACTTGCAAGCAAGTTTACCCACTCTGTCTCCAACAATACATTTTTTTGCTTCACAAACTTCACCTCCAATTTATATCCTAATTACTACTACTGTACTATTTTACTATTAGTCTATATTTTTATTTTGTTTTTATTTATTTATTTATTTTTTTGTAAACAATCCATTAAATATTGATTTAAATTTATGATTACTGAAAATATTGTTAAAAGAAATTTTCAACTTAATTTTTTTTTTTTTTTTTTTAAAATTTGTGCGAGTCTGAACAACTATCTCCTTAATAACATGATATAAGTTTTGTATATTCACGAATGAGATGTGATTGATATTTTATAATATGCTTTAAATTAAAAACAAAGACCGTAAAATCTTTTTGTTATGGTGGTACAATGATAATGAAATTTTTGCTAAAAAAAATAAAAAAGTTTAACGTTTTCTTATTAACGTAATATTGAAAATGACATCTACTATTCTGCTATTAGTCTATGTTTTTATTTTTTTATATATATTTTTTGTAAACAATTCATTAAATATTGATTTTATAGTTTATGATTAGTGAAAATATTGTTTAAAGAAATTTCAACTTAATTTTTAAAAAAAATTTGTGTGACTGATTCGAGCAACTATCTCTTTAATCGTCGGTACATAAGTTTTGCAAGAAAAAAAGCGCAAAATTGTTGATTATTATTTTGTTAGGAAGGTACGATGATAATGAAATTTAAGCTAAAAAGAAAAAAAGTTTAAGGTTTTCTATTAAGGTACTGTTGAAAATGACATCTACTATTAATGAAGGTAAAAGAAAAAGAACAACCCATAAATGCTTTAAATGGGGATAGGTTTTCAGTTTTCACTTAAAAAGTATGCTTATTAGAGACACCTTTTGACTTGAACAAATTAAAGAAAAAGAAAAGAGCTTGATACCTAAAAACGTACTAATCGTGGTGATTAGGTTGGTCAAATATTAAAAGCCAGATTAGGTCGGTCAAGCAATGCCACAGTTTTAAATTGTGGTAAAACTTGACGAGCATGTATGCCACCTCTAAGATATGAGTTGTTTGAGTAGTTGAATTATTTTTGAGAATTTGACATAAATATAATTGAATTTATCTGTAATTCGGGTCTTGTACTATTTTTCTCTCCTCTAATAACTAACTCTTAATTCCTATCATTCTTGTCTTAAGAAAAAAAAAAAAAAAATTTAATGTAACATCTAAAATTAAATTAATAATAAAAATAATCAATTAATGAGAAGATATTGTTAAGAATTTGTTTGACAACTGTTTTTATTTCGTGGTTTTTTTTTTTATTACTAGTAGTGAACTTTTGCAATACTGCTTTTATTTCCTGTTCTTTATTACTAGTAGTGTACTTTTGCAATGCAAAATACCGAAACATATTTTACTATTAGTCCATATTTTAATTTTTTATATCCTAATTACTACTACTGTACTATTTTACTATTAGTCTATATATATATATATTTTAAAATTATTATTATTATTATTATTTTGTAAACAATCCATTAATTATTGATTTAAATTTATGATTACTGAAAATACTGTTAAGAGAAAATTTCAACTTAACTTTTTTAAAAAACAAATATGTGAGAGTGACTCTGAACAACTCTCCTTAATAACATGATATCAGTTTTGCATATTTACGAATGAGATGTGATTGATAATATGCTTTAAATTAAAAACAAAGACTGCGGAATCTTTTTATTACGGTGGTACAATGATAATGACATTTTCGCTAAAAAGAAAAAAGTTTAAGGCTTTCTTATTAAGGTAATATTGAAAATGACATCTACTATTGTACTATTAGTCTATGTTTTTATTTTTGTATATATATATTTTTTGTAAACAATTCATTAAATATTGATTTTAGTTTATGATGAGTGAAAATATTGTTAAAAGAAATTTCAACTTAATTTTTTTTTTAAATTTGTGTGACTGATTTTGAGCAACTATTTCTTTAATCGTTAAATGATGTAGGTTTTACAAGAAGAAAAACTAGACACTGTTGATAATAATGCTTTAAATTTAACACAAAAACTACAGAATCTTTTTGTTATGGCGGTACATGATAATGAAATTTATGCTAAAAAAAGAAAAGAAAGTTTAAGGTTTTCCTATTAAGGTAATATTGAAAATGACATCTACTACTATTAATGGTATCAAAAGGTAAAAGAAAAAGAACAACCCATAAATGCTTTAAATAGGGATAGGTTTTCACTTAAAAATTATGCTTATTAGAGACACCTTTTGACTTTAACAATTTAAAGAAAAAGAAAAGAGCTTGATACCTAAAAACTTAATAATCATGGTGATTAGGTTGGTCAAATATTAAAAGCCAGATTAGGTTGATCAAGAAATGCCACAGTTCTAAATTGTGGTAAAACATGATGAGCATGGATGTAACCTTTAAAATGTAGGTCCGGTGTTGCTTTAGCGGTTGGATTATTTTTGAAAGTTGCTATTCGAGTCTTGCACAACCTCTCTCCTTTAATAATTAACCACTAATTTTTATCATTCTTGTCCTTAAAAAAAAAAAAAAATGGATTTAATATCTAAAATTAAATTAATAATAAAAATAATTAATTAATGAGAAGGGATGTTGCACTTACGGTCAAAATATTATTTTTATAACTACCATAATACTTTTGGAAGACTCATTGTGAAAAAGCAAATTAGAAGCAACAAAACTCTTTCTGAGATAGTCATATATATATATATATTTAACAAACAATTCTCACAATATTTTTGGAAGAGATTTGAACCTTACACCTTTAGAAAAGAAGATTTCTTTAAGGGTTTGTATGGCAACAACTTTTATTTCGGTGTTTTTTTTATTATTTATTTATTAACGGTAGTGTACGTTTGCAATGCAAAATACCGAAACATATTGGTAACTTTTGTTACGATTTTAAAAGTATTGCATTTGTTGTCGGAAGAAGTCCAAATTAGTGTTTCTTAATATTTTTGCAAGGTACCAAAAAACATTGTAGCATACCAATAATAATAATAATAATAATAATAATAATAATAATCTAAATGACCTTTTTTAACTAGCCGTTTTGTTTATAGATGCCTCAATAGCCTAGTTGATTAAGTCCTCGGTGAACGTTGGAGTACCTGGCTTCGACTCTCTGTATTTAATTTTTAACACTTTTTGCCTTTAAAAAAAAAAAAAAAAAAACCTAGCCATTTTGTTTTTAATCTTGCAATACTTTTTTATTGGACATGTTTTCAAAAAATTAACAACAAATTTTACATTACCAAATATGTACTTTCAATTACTAATTTACTATTGAATATATTTCACAACAAAAATATTATTTTTGTTTCAAATTAAAATAAAAACGATTACCAAACATGCTTAAAATCATATACTTTAATAGTTAACATTAATCTTGAATCGTGTTTTTTTAACAAACAAAATTCCTAAAACTGAATTTATCTAAATTGTTATTCTATTATAATTCAACTTAATTCAATTCAAAGGGTTTTAAACTTTTTATCATATCTATTTTTTTTAGAAAAAATTTAAAATAAAAAAAATCAAATCAAATTAAAGGTTACGTGTACAAAACAACATTTAAATGTATACATAAAAAAATGATAAGAAAATCAACCTTACCTGCCAAAATGGAAATCAAATGAGTCTCATTAATGAGATGGCATTCCAAGGGACCCATGATGGTAAGTCAACAACAGGCATATGGTTGCAAGTCTTTTCACTAGTGCAGACTCAATCAATGTGGACTAAAAACAGGTGGCAAATTATGAGTACATCTATTTAATATATATATATATATATATATATATATATATAAATACACGTATAAACACAATAGATTTAGCTGACTTCCACGTGGCAACACGTTATAGGTTGTAATCCAGTCAAAAATGGGTGGAGATAACATAGCCTGATTTCAATCATGGGTTTGGACAACGTAGACTATTACAATAAATGGGACTCTTCATTGGAGGACACCACCCTGTCAGCTTATTTATGGCTTAAATAAATATAAATCTAAAATTATCCCATAGTCCAATTCGATTCAACCAGCGGTTAAGATTGTCTTATCTCCCATAGTGGGGTCCATAAAAATCGAAACGTGTTTAATGCACAATAAAGTCACATGGTATCTCGTTGTTGGATGATAGTATGTAGTACTAGTATCACTTGTGGAAACCCAACATGCATTGATTTTTTCCTAGTTCAAAAAATCTCTCTTTATTTATTTATTATTTATGACTTTTGTGGGAAACCATTGACCTTAAAAAATCCTACTAATTTTTTGGTCTGAAACGTGAAATTCTATTCGAGTTGATTGAACCAACAGTTGGTATCTAAGAATAATTTTTTATTTTATGATAATTGTAAAATAAAAAATTTGCACAAAAATAAGTTTGTTGACAATATCTAGTAATAATTTTATGAAAAGTTAAACAAGATTTACAGGGTGTTCGTCTGCATTGAAATCGGTGTCTTGAAATTTTCTATTTTCTAAAATTTCATTAATTTTAATTCCCATACTTCATTTCCATACAGCCAAATACACTCTTAGATAACTTTTATAATGGTCTGAAAAGATTTTTTTTTTTTTAAATTTATATAAATTATTATTATTTTTTTTGTCAAACCTAGAAAATTCTAAGATCATCTTACAATAAAGTCATATAATCGCTTTGTTGATAATAGTAAAACATGGACTCTCACACGCATTTAGAGTGCCTCAACCAATTGAACTACCACTCTTCATGATATTTACATATTAGTCTATGATTAACTTGATGATTTGCCAATTGAAATATATATAATGTTAAAGCTAAAAAAAATATAGTACTCAGAAACTTCATTGTTAAAAATAGAAAATTAATGGGTAAATTTAACAGAGTAACTTGAAGATTAAACATTTTCATTTTGAGACCTCCATCAAAAGTAGTTATAATTTGAACATAAATTTACTTCTATTCATGAAATGTGAGTAGTCGTTGCCTTTAGTGGAAAGAGGAGAATCACGTGTTTCATATGGTTCCCTCCGACCATCAACTGCCCT